TCTGATAGGACGATCTTAGTGGCACCATAAACAGTCACTCCCGTTCTAACTTCACAAATACTAGTACTCGTCTTCAGGGTGCTAGCCTGAAGTTAAATGGATAGTTTACCTCAAAGCATCATACTTAACATTTTCTCTTATTTACCTTACAAATTTGTTCGAAAAACTGCTTCTCTTGTGTGTAAGGTGTGGCTGCAAATGTCTCAGGACAAAAGTCCGATTAAGTACGCAAGGGATACTGAGTTCTCAAAACTAAAGGCCAAAACTCATCAAAGGAGACTGTGGATAACTTTCGTCAGGCGGTTAAATGAAGGCCTTGTCTTTTCCAATCTTTAGACTGATCTGGGGCAAGAACAACCTGGTCAACATTCTGTGAAATAGTGGAAAATTGTACTGGACTAACAGTTTTAAATATGGTTAGAATGCAAGGTGGACTGTCTGAATATCCAGTGATTAGAGCTATTAACATTGTGGAGCTCAACGTGAGCGAAACAAAGCTAGATGACAGCCATCTATAGCTAGCTTTTATTACGTAAAGCATATCCTCTTAAGGAATTTTGAATGTCTGCGGATGTGAAAACTTGACCAATACGGGTATTAACAAAGCACTTTTGATTCCTTACTTTTTCTTGGACTAGCTCATTGTAAGGTCAGTGTTGATCCCATAATTTGTGCTATTCAAAAGCACGAGATTTTTGCAATGTGCGTAGAAGGAGTAACATTAAGCACAGATGACATCTCACATTTGGTTGATCTGTTCCCCGACATGGCTGAGATTGCCGTTCCCACTGTGTGTGGCTTGCAACAGGGAACTGTCTCCTCTGAAGCATTACAGCCACTTTGCTTTTACTGCCGCTAATGGCCTCTAAATATGGAAGCTGGATGAAACTTTAATAAACAATCTGTACTTATACGAAAAGAATATACTGTAGTTCCCGTTTCTCATCGATAAACTTTCCTCCCTTGAGACCATTACCCATCGTTGCATCAGCGACTATACATGTATTTATGTATTCCTACATGCAGTCCTCGTTTTAAACGTACGACACCTTAATTCATGTCACCCAATTTCACTAATTTATTGATGCAGGAAAAGTACTTTTGCTCAAGCAGGAAGTCTCATTTATGTTAATAAGGCATGATTTCTTATTAAAAATCTTGTTAAAAATCTTATTAAACAAAATCTTTGCAAGGAGGGAAAGAAAATCATCTGAAACATTTATCTGAAACATTAATAGCAATATATTGTTATTGAAGTATCCAAGTTTGCAAAGGTTGGTCGGAAGCGTGTGTCGCCTACATGCAAGAGCAGGTAGTTTGCTAAAATCGACATTAGTTGACAAATGAAACACCCTTGCTCGCCCAAATCCCTACGCGCCACAGGTACAATTAGTCTTCAAGTCAATCATACCGGAGGATATCTGCGATCACAAAGATAGCAAATTTGGTTGAATCTGGAACAGCTCTAACTTGCTTTTGTTAAATAGTTCGCTACTTCTCTCACAGTTCGACAATAAAGTGACAACTGAAAGAATCCATAACATAAATTCAAGACTATCCGATGGAAAGCCTGTTTGTGAATGCCAAGGCAGTTACGGAAAAATCAATTTGCTGATCAGAAAACCTTGAGGACCCCTGAGCTGTCAAACCGGTTAATACTTGCGATACTAGCAAATGTTGGCAAATCAAAAGGGCTTCCACTTTCACTGAATCGCTCCCTACTTCTCTGCCAACTGGACATCAAGGTTTCTGTCTCCCAAGGATAACAATGGGGAGAATTTTTCAACCCAGTAGTATTAATTTTGGTCAAGTCAATGCAATGTTTACTTCGTCACATTTCGATTAAATTTTGTTGTGATCCGCTCGTTCTTTGAATTACGTCCCAGTTTTTATTGTGGTTTGTCGACTGCCTGTTTCTCTCATTTTCTATTTTCTCGAGGCATTATGGCACGAACAATCCAATAGGGCATTTGAACTAAGAGGCATGTGACATCGTTTTTATGAAAATGAAAGTTATATGATTTTGCCTTCGAAAAACGTTTAGTGGGTCATATCTTAAACAAAATAATGGTGATTTGGCTTTTTCAAACCCGAACCATTTTCTTAAAATGAATAAGTTCGTAAATGGTCACGTGACCAAAATGTGATTTTTAAAATTATGAATTACCTCTGAACACAAATTTTGCACTAAAACGTTAAGGACAATGTTGAAAAGATGATGTGATAACGTTTACAGCACATCTGAGCGTAAATATGAAACAAGATATGAGCAAGATATGAGTTTTGGCCGCCATGTTGGAGGGCAAAAGCATGCCCTCCAAAAGGGGGCCAATACAAATCATACTACTTTGCTGAAAAGTCAAAGTGCCATAAAATATCTCCCTTAAATGCGTTTCCTCTCAAATTTCGGGTGTAAGATAATTTTTGTGTGCTCTAACAATTTTTGGCATCAGCAAGATTCCAACTCATTGTTTAAAGGATGCATTGGTCACGTGACCTC